TCTCCCCTTCTTCCTTTTTTGAGGCGCTCAAAAATCTGTCCCGCTCCCGCTTCCCCCTCCCATTTGTCCTGCGCCCTCTCGCCCGTTTCCTGTTCCCTCTCCCCTTCTGCCCTTCCTCACCTCCCTCCTCCCCGTCTCTCCTCTTCTCTCCTTCCCCTCTTGCCACTCGCCCCTCCTCCCCCGCCCCTCTTCCGCGCCCACAACCCACAGGTTCTGCGGGTTGCTGCTCTGTCACAGCTGCAGCGCGCGCACGTGCCTGCTGCCCCCTCTCTTCCGCGAGTCCGAACCCCAGCGTGTGTGCGACCGCTGCTACGACCAGCTGGAGCCGCTGCAGCCACAGCTCGTGGTCACAGTGGCAGGCGCAGCGCAGCGCGCGCTGCACGATGTGACGGACGCCACGAGCGTGCGCGCGTGGGTGAACAACCCCCTTGCTTGGAGCCTCCAGGAGGAGATTTTCAAGGCCACCAACACGCTCCGCGGGTATTCTCAGGTGCGCAGGGGAGAGAGGGCGTGGGGGGGGGGGGGGGTTGAGTCAGCTCAAGAGTCACCTAATAACCCCCTCGCGTGGAGCCTCCAGGAGGAGATTTTCAAGGCCACCAACACGCTCCGCGGGTACTCTGAGGTGCGAGAGAGAGAGGTTTCATGTGCCAGATTTTGAGGTGTCTCAAAGTCTTATGCCACGGGCGTGCGCGCGTGGGTGAATAACCCCCTCGCGTGGAGCCTTCAGGAGGAGATCTTCAAGGCCACGAACACGCTCCGGGGGTACTCGCAGGTGCGTTCGTGCACGGAATCGTACGAGCCACTAGCTGCTGCGTGCTTGGCTGCTGGCTGCTGTGTTTTCGGGGGCGAGCAGGGTGGTGTCGTTTGGTGTTTTCACCGTGTTTAGGCGAGCAAGGGGGGGCAACTCTCGGTCCGTCCCCTCCCCTTTTCCCGTATTCATCCCTTGCGTTCCACCCTCCAGGTGGGAAGGCTGTACCCAGAGCGCTCATTCCCAGCAGCCGTGTTGGGGTGCGGTGGGGCCGGCGATTCTGGCGGTGCCATTGAGAACTGTCAAGAACACCCTCTTCTTACGCCTCCCCTCCCCTTCCTTCCGCCAGGTGGGGAGGCTGAACCCAGAGCGGTCAATCCCAGCAGCCGTGCTGGGAGGCGCAGTGGGGCTGGCGATTCTGACGGTGGCCAAGGCGGGTGTGGGGGTGACGTACCGGGTGGGAACGGGGCTCGTGGTGTGCCTCAAACCCGACCGCCAGTGGAGCGCGCCCTCTGCTATTGCTACTGCTGGCATGGGATGGGGCGCGCAGGTGCGGGGGACAGTGGGGGGGGAGGACTGCGGTTGGAAGGAGTGGGGAAGGGGAGGGGAGGTTTGGGGCGTGTTGTTGGGGCGGTGGCTGGGGCAATGGTTTTCAGGGTTCCGTGGGGGTTGGCGCTGAAGGGGAATGGGTTTGGGGCGTGAGGGGGGGAAGACGGGGCGTGGGGTTGTCGACGTACCTCGCGGGCATGGCCTCATGGTTTGTTGTACTGCGTGGAGGCCATGAAGGCCGTTTGCAGCTGCGCCAGTTTTCTATCCCCCTTGACGAACCCTTCCCCGCTCTCCCCTCCCGTGACCCCCAACCCCATCCCTCCCCTCTCGGTCCCTTGCTTCCTCAGATGGTTGGAGAGATAGCGGATCTGATAGTGGTGATCCGCAGCCTCGAGGCCATGAAGGCCTTTCGCAACCACGCCATTTTCTCTCCCCATTGACAAATCCTCCTCCGCCCTCCCCTCCCTTGACCCCAACCCCATCCCTCCCCTCCCAATTCCTCAGATGGGTGGAGAGATAGCGGATCTGATAGTGGTGATCCGCAGCCTCGAGGCCATGAAGGCCTTCTGCAGCCGCTACCACGTGGCGGTGGGCGCCTCTGCCAGCGCTGCTGCCGGGCCCGTGGGGCGCGCTGTGGAGGCGGACGTGCGTGCGGGTGGTACGGGCTTCTCTACGTGCTACACGTACAGCTGCAGCAAGGGTGAGTGTGGGTGTGCGTTGCTGCTGCTGCTGCTGCTGCTGCTGCTGCTGCTGCTGCTGCTGCTGCATGCATGTAGTGTTATCATTTGGGCGCCCCAAAAATGGCCAGCAGCACGGGCTTATCCATGTGCTACACGTACAGCTGCAGCAAGGGTACATGGGTTGGGTGCTGCTGCTGCTGCTGCTGCATTGAGTTTTGAGTCGTCTCAAAACTCGACGTGCAGGCGGGCGGCACGGGCTTCTCTACGTGCTACACGTACAGCTGCAGCAAGGGTGGGTGTGTGCTGCTGCCACCCTTCATCCCATATCCATCCCCATCCTGATCCCCCTCCCCGTCCTCGTCCCCATCCCCATCCCCATCCCTCTCCCCATCCCTCTCGTTATCCCATACACATACCCCTCCGCCTCCCCCTCCCCATCCCCCTTCTGCTCCCTGTCGCCCGCCCGCCCCCGCTCTCGCTCGCCACCCTCCCATTCCCCAGGAGCATTCGTGGGCATGTCATGGGAGTCAAGCGTGGTGGCGTCATGCTCATCGGTGAACCGGCGCTTCTACGGCATGCCAGTCTCCACCACCGACATCCTCTTTGGCCGCATCGCGCAGCCCACCGCTGCCCGCCCGCTCTACGATGCCCTCCGGGACCTCATCCTTGTCTCCATCTCCATCCCCTTCCCCCCACCCCCTCCTCCCCCCCCCTCTTTTTCCCCACTCCCCACCCTCGTCCCCCTTCCCCCCCTCCCCCCCTCCGCCTCTCCCCCTCCGCCACCCCCCAGGAGCATTCGTGGGCATGTCATGGGAGTCCAGCGTGGTGGCGTCATGCTCATCGGTGAACCAGCGCTTCTACGGCATGCCAGGCTCCACCACCGACATCCTCTTTGGCCGCATCGCGCAGCCCACCGCTGCCCGCCCGCTCTACGACGCCCTCCGGGACCTCATCCCTGTCCCCATCTCCATCCCCTTCCCCCCACCCCCTCCTCCCCCCCCCCTCTTTTTCCCCACTCCCCACCCTCGTCCCCCTTCCCCCCCTCCCCCCCTCCGCCTCTCCCCCTCCGCCTCCCCCTCCGCCACCCCCCAGGAGCATTCGTGGGCATGTCATGGGAGTCCAGCGTGGTGGCGTCATGCTCATCGGTGAACCGGCGCTTCTACGGCATGCCAGTCTCCACCACCGACATCCTCTTTGGCCGCATCGCGCAGCCCACCGCTGCGCGCCCGCTCTACGACGCCCTCCGGGACCTCTACGACTCGCTTGCTGCCCCGCCCCCGCCGTATGAGCACTGCTGCGCTGGCCCACCGGCTGAGGCTGTTGCTGCTTCCCGGGGCTGATGGGGAGGAGGGGAGGGGCGATGAACGGAAGGTGCGTTTTGGGGGCCGGGGTGTCGGGGGAGGTAGAGGGGTGGTTGGATGGGGGACTTGAGGGGTTGCTTGCTGTGCGTATGATCACTGCCGCTGCCGTACGAACACTGCTGCGCTGGCCCACCTGCTGATGCTGCTGCCGTTTCCCGGGTCTGATGGGGAGGAGGTGGTTGGGGAGGAGGCGTGACGGGAGGTGCGTTGAGGGGAGGGGAAGGAGATTGGGGGAAGGCTGGGTGGGTGAGGGACCTGGGTGGGGGTCAAAAGGGTTTGCTGGGGTAGGCATGATATTAGAGAGTCTGATACATGAGGTGCAGCATGGGGGAATAGTGGAGGGGGGGGGATGGGTGCGTGGGAGCGAGTGTGGGTGTGATTTGCGTGCGATTGAGTGCATGTGGGGGAAAGGGGGACAAGCTGGTAGTTGTTGGTGGTATCATGCTGTGCTCGGCCTGGTCCTCCTGCTCCTACCAATGCCATGGTATGGTGTGTCGTTGGCGGTCAAAGGCTGGTAGTGGTACCTACCACCATGAATTCAACCATTTATTATATTTCCTCTTTGAACCCCCGTCTTTCTAAACCCCCTATGCAGAATCGTGGAGATGTTCATGTAGAAACGGACCCCCGCTTCTTGTACATATCCAGTGGAGGCTCGAAGGTAATTCCCTTCATTTTCCTGTAGGTTACACGCGCTGCTGTACAGGTAGAACACGTGGAGCGCCATTTTGGTGGTAAGAGCTGGTGCTGTACAGATTTATGTTGTAGATAAGGTAGTCTGATCTTCTCTGTGGATGCTAGCGTTTTACCTACTACCGTAGTATCTCGGTGACAAACGTATACTTCTACTTGTTAAACTTCTATGGATGTCAATAGTTTCTTGTGGTGGTAGTGGATGTGAACTGACGGGGTACATCTTGTTACTGATTTATAAGCACGACATATTCAATGTGGTAATGAGCGTGTACAAGAAAAGGCAGCAAAAGAGCTGCTTCGTTACAATTGGACGTACCTCAGATACAATGTGGAGCTCGATCTGACATCGCCTTCCACGATTTAATCCCAGCCGTCAAATCCATCTCCCTTGAAATCTACCAACCTGCATGTCTCAAGTTTAGGGATTTATGGTCTCGGCTGGCCCTGCCCGGCCATTCCACCCGGCGTCACATGGCTTTCCCTGCGGGATCACCACGTCAATAATAAAGCATTATCCAATCCGCTGTCCCCAATTCTCATTTTTCTATTCTCTCCCTCAATCTGCACCGTCCATTTTACGATCTGACAATCACATCCCACCAGCTCCCACTTCTCCGGCTCCGTCACGGCGCGCGACATTCCCGATAGTGAGGATTCTCCGCCTGAATTTGCAACCCGAATCCTAAATCCTGGGAGTGGAAGTGGTTGGGGGAGCAGGAGCAGAAGCGCATCTGCTTTCTCTCTCTACTTGTTCCCGTTGTGTATGTCCGTCCACCCCAAATTCTGGTACACCCGCAGCAGATGTACGTGGAATGGTCAGCTTGCCTCCATCCCTACAGATCGTGTTTTGGCTGTATTTGGTGGTATAGATTCCTTTTTCCCGACGTGCCTGGGTTGACGAGCTGAATTTAGACTAATCCGTTTTTCCTTGTTAATCCAGCAATCATGAGGCAGCGCTTTATTCCAATGGCTAGATGGGCTTCCCTTGTGATCTGCTCGTGGCTCATCGTCTCCGCGATCTGCCTCATTGATCCGGTTGCTGCCGACGAGGACGCGTGCGTCGCGGAGCGCGAAGGCAAGGCGCGATGCGAGGATCTCGTGACCAAGGTCAAGGCGGAGCTTGCGGGGGCGAAGGAGCGTGCGGACTCCGCGGAATTGACGGTGGCGGGTGTACGCGCGGAGGCGAAGGCCGCGGGGGAGAAGACGCGCGCGTGCGAGGCGGAGGCGGGGAAGCTGCGCGCGGACGTGGCGGAGCTGACGAGCAAGGCGCAAGCCGCGGAGAAGAAGGCGGGTGACCATGGTGAGTCATCAACTCAGCGTTCACCAGGTTTAGGTGAAACTGATCGATTTTTCAACACGCTTATACGTATGTTGGTGAGTCGACGATTAAGAGGGTCCGAGATTTAACACTTGCATCGCCGGATTCGGTGGCATTCAGTGAGCGAGGAGTCAATCGGATTTAACTGTTCCATCAGCTTGGAATTCAAGCTGGATTGAATCAGTTTTTTCGAGCAGAATTCACTTGCGTTGCACTTCGAGTTCCATAGATTTGAGCCGTCCGATCGGATCCAACGAGATACTGTTGGATCTGATCCGATGTGGGTAAGATATTGGTTTCCCTGTGAGTGTTCTTAACAAACCGATCCGACGATCTGCGTTTCGACGATCTGCGACGGCCATTCGCTGTCCTCGCAAGTCCACGCCTTGATCTCCATTCACAGAAAGAGGGTGAGTAGAGGGTAGGCGGAGAGAGACAGACTCTAATGCGCGTCTCTCGCCATGCCGAGTCATGTAGGAGAGGAGATTCGACTCTATTTTGTGTATGTCCACCGAGAGCACAACTGAATAACCGAAGGAGTTCGGAGCAGCAGTGATCTCACCTGGCAGATTCCACCTGGCATGATCCCACCTGGTAGATCTAGTCGAATTTCTCTTATCATCGTCGTTTGTCTCCTCCTCGTCGGTAGTAGCTCGGATCGAACCACAGAGCACGATGCCGGCGATGCCTAAGAAGGCCAACGGCACTTTCTCGTGCGATCACCATGATCAGACGTGTTTTGAGGCTCAGATTTGACCAGTGCTTCGCCGCTCACGTGCTGCCTCCTTTCTCTCTTATCATCCTTCATCTGCTTCCCCTGCTCCTTGGCCCGTGACGCTCCCCCTGTCCGCGCGCGCGCGGGCGACGTGCGGACGATTGGAAAAGCGGTATGCGGACTTCGCCGTCTGATCTCTCAGCCGCCATGCTACTCACTGCACACCCTCTCTCTCCCTGACTCTGTGTCTGTCCATGTGCGTGTGCGCGCGCGTGTGTGCGACGCACGTGTGTGAGTGCAGGCGGCGAGGTGCGCGCGTTGAAGGAGAAAGTGAAGGCGCTGGAGGCGCAAGTGGCGGACAGCAAGGCGCAGCAGCAGGCTCTGCAGAAACAGATCTCGTCCAAAGGTGATTCCCCCCTCTCCCTGTTCCCCTCCTCGATCTCCATTTTCCTCTTCACCTCCTTCGTTTCCCTCTTATCCTCCTCGCCCAAAACTCGTCCCATTCCTCTCTCTCTCGTCGCAACTCTGCCTTCCTCCTCCTGTCCCCGCTCCCCCCTCCCCCCCCCTTCCCCCTCCCCCGTCCCGGAGCAGAGGCGCAGGCGAAGCAGGCGGAGCAGCAGGCGGCGACTCTCAAGAGCGAGTTGGAGGCAGCTAAGGGCGAGGTGAAGGCGAGCAAGGAGAAGCTCAAGGGAGTGCAGGAGGATCTCAAGGTCGCGCAGGCTGAGGCGGTGAAGGTGAAGGCCGTTGGAAAGGACGCGTCGGAGTGCCAGAGCAAGCTCACCCGCTCCAACACCCTTCTCAAAGAGACCACGGTACGGTTCGGTTTGATTCAGTTTCAATGGTTTAGTTCGGTTTGGTGCGGTTCGGTTAATTTTCGGCTAGGTGGGTTTTGAGGGGTTTTGCAGCAGTTATGCCCGGAGTCTTCCGCATCGTGGCTTTGTTTAGGAGCACATGGTAGAATTCGGTTCGGTCCGGTTCGGATCTACCTGTCTTGGTTTGAAGGGTTAGTGAATACCCTTTTTTTGGGCACCGGGAGTGAAGGTAGGACAATTCTAGCCGAATAAAGGGGGGCGGCAGGTTATTTCGAGAGAAAAGAAGCCATTTTGGATTGTTGGCATGTAACATGCCATAGTCGAGTGAGGGGAGGAGAGGAAACGGCATATAATAAAAGAAAAAGGGGAAGGAATCATTTTCGTATTCCAGGTTCAGGTTTAGATGTTTTGGATCGCTGTGAGATATGTCGGGATATTTCGGGTTTGCTGCTGCAAGGTGTTGATTTGGAGAGTCGAGTATGAAAAAGATATTTCAAAAAATGCGTCATGCAATCACAAATATCAAAACATGCGATAGCTACTTTTGCTGTTGCTCTACCTGTTGCCAGTTCTGACTCAGCAGCAGGCTCTAGCTTCCCTGGCAATGTGCGCTCGTATCCTATCCAGTATATTTGAATCTGTAGGCGTCTATTGAGTCACATCCCTTTCTAGTTTGCATTCCCCTTCTGCAATGCAATCTGCACACGCACAACTCCCACGCCCCCGTATCCCCCCCACCGCACCAACCCCGTACCCGTCACGCCCAAACTCAACCGTGTCCCCACTGCGCGCATTTCTCTCCCTACCCCTGCACGCGCGCAGGACTCGTTGGCGCGGCTGGAGAGGGAGGTGGAGGCGAATCACGAGCAGCTGCTGCAGGTGTCCAGCAAGTGGGACGAGGTTCAAGTCGACTCAATGCTCCCCTTCAACCTCATCCTTGTCCCCTGCGCGGATCTCCCTCCCCCCCCCCCCCCCCCTTGCACGCGCGCAGGACTCGTTGGCGAGGCTGGAGAGGGAGGTGGAGGCGAAGCACGAGCAGCTGCTGCAGGTGTCGAGCAAGTGGCTGCCGCCATGGCTCGAGGACCACCTGCTCTCCGCCAAGGTGAGACCCCCAACCCTCTGTACCTGCCCTGTTCGCCTCTCTGCTGCGCTACTGAACAAGCTGCACGTTCAACAATGAACCGGGTTTGGAGGAGCATAACTAGCGCGAGCGGTTGTCGTGTCGGCATGGTTCGAGGACCACCTGCTCTCCGCCAAGGTAATCGTTCCACCCCTCGGGAATGACTGTGCTCGCCTCTTTGCGCCACTGTGAAAGTCCCGCCCGCCTGTATGCATTGATCCGGCTGTAGACGGGCTTCGGTGGTGTGGCCCGTCTGTAGGAACTGCTGCCTGCCTGCCACTGTGGCTCGGCTGCCATCTGCTTTTCAACAAAGTGAGTTGTGCTGCGCGCGTTGAATTCTTGCCAGCCATCGCTCGAACCAATCATTCTTCAACGGGCCAAGGTCGGTCTGGCAGTGAGTTTGGAATCAAGTGGCTAGACCCGAGGCTTGGAATTTCACAGTTCACCTGCTCTATATGTGTCATATCCCGTGTTATTCACGTGTCCTTGGTACATGACTGTTGTGATTTCTGATGTTGCTGCTGCAGTCGCTGTGGCTGTTGCTGATGGTTCTTGCGAGCTGGTGGTGCGTGTGTGTGAGCAGGACTCTGTGGTCTCTGTGTGGACTGACAAGGCTCTTCCAGCTGTTGCTTCTGTACGCGCAGAGGTAATGCTTCCTCTGCCATACCATGCCATACCATACCATGCCATGCCGTACCATGCCATGCCATGCCATCCCCGTGCCATGCCATGTCATGCTGTGCCATGGCAGGCTGCTTTTTCTTAAACCCCTCACTCTCTGTAAAGCCCTCACTTACTCTCATAGCCCTCACACAACTCCTTTCGCCCTTGTATCCCGTTTCGTTCCTCCTGCTTCTTCCTCCCCTATCCCTCCCTTCACCACCATCGTCCTTCAATAACTCGTTCTCCACCATTCACGTCCTCTCTCCCACTCGCCATCAACATTCCCTCTCGTCGCCACCTCGCCCTCCCTGTAACCCCAATCTGTGCAACCCCGCCCTGTTCACCCCCACTCCACTTGCAGCTCGCGCGCATGGCCACTCAGATGGGCGGCGCCGTTGGCCCCCAGCTCACTGCTGCGTACCAGGTGCGGGCGACATGCATGCACGCATCCAGACACACATGCACTCATGCACGCAGGCAGGCAGGCAGGCAGGCTATCCGCTTAGGATGGGATTACAAGGACGTGCGATCTTAGCCCAGACAGGCATGTCCTGTGGCTGGCATTGTTGGGCGACTCTCTGTCCACATCCTCTGGCAACTTTTTCTAGCGCTTTTTGAGGCGCCTCTACCGTCCTCTCTGTCCACATCCTCTGACCTCTTCTTCCTCGCGCATTCTCCCATAGAAACTGAGCATACACCCTTCGATTCCTAGATTCATTATAATCCACCTACATGTATCCGTGCATGTGTATGTGTATGTGTATGTATGTGCATGTGTGTGTGAATGCATGCAGGCTGCTAAGGACAGCCTGCACCCGCACCTCACCAGCCTGCATGCCCAGACTCAGGTGCGCACCGCTCCCAGATTACCTTCTCCCAATCGCGCTCTCACATGCTCACATGCCCTCTCACACACTCTCACAAACGCGCTCCCGGTGCTCTTTCTCATGCTCTTTTGCCAGCCTCTCGTTCTAATGCTTCCTCTCACACGTTCTCACTCAGGCACTGTCAAACGTTCCTCCTCAGTCTTTCCTTTTCAATTTCTGTCTCCCTCCATCTGTGCCCTGTATCCTCCACCAACCAACCCCCCCTCCTCACCTATTCGTTCGTGCTTGCTTCCTCCTCTTCTCCCCTCGTCTCTCTTTCTCCCCACTTCCCGTTTTCCCCTTCTCCTTTTGCCCTAACCCTTCCTTATTCCCCTTCCCCCTTCCTCCTGTCCCCTCGTCCAGCCGGTAGCACGCAAGGCTGTGGCGGAGGCACGTGTGGCGCTGGCGCCGCTGGCAGCAGTGGTGGGGGAGAAGGGCGGGGAGGTGTACGGGCAGGTGCACTCCCTGCTGTCCCCGCACATCAACCAGACGTGGACCGCCGTGGAGCCTCATGTGCAGGTGCGTTACTACTACCCTGCTGCGCTGCGGGTTTTCAGATGTCTCAGAGCTGGTGTACGGGCAGGTGCACTCCGTGGCGTCCCTGCACATCAACCAGACCTGGACCGCCGTGGAACCTCATGTGCAGGTGCGCTGCCTTGCTGCTGCCCTGCTGCCTTGCTGTGCTTCTGTCCCGTTGCCCTGCTGCCTTGCTGCGCTGTTGCATTGCATTGCTCCCCCGCCATCCTTCCTGCCTTCCTGTCTGCCTGCCCAACTGCCCGCCCGCCCACTTGCCTGTTTGTCTGTATGCCCCGCAGCCTTGCTATTGGGCAGTCGTTCCTCTGGTGCAATCCTGTGTAGATTCACTAGGTGCCAGCCACCTATCCCACCCCTATCCCACCCTCCCCTCCTGTGGGGCATTTCCTTCCTCCTCTGCCTCTATCTCTTTACTCCCACTATTCACTCTCTCAATTTGCTCTCCTGCTCCCCACCAAATGCGCCTGTGCAGTCCCTGCAGGTGCTGCTGGGCCCGCACCTGTCAACGGCAAAGGTGGCAGCAGCAGCAGCAGCGAAGCCACTGCAGCCGCACTGGGAGAGGTACAACACGGCAGTGAAGGACATGGTGGTGGCTGCGGCTGACTTCTTCTCCGAGGATGCCCTCCCTGACAACACGCTCTGCTGGATGGTACGTGCCACGGGATGCCAGGGGATGCTGCTGCTGCCTTGTGCTGGTGGTATCGGTGCTATTGTTGCCGGGGCTCAGGGTTTAGGGTGATGGTGATGGTGATGGTGATGGTGATGGTGATGGTGATGGTGATGGTGATGGTGATGGTATTGGGAGTTGGTGCTGACATCACACATGCTGTAGCGGTCTATCCTACCCTTCCCAGACCTGCTATAACAAACCTTTTACTCCCCTTGTGCTGTCTTTGTGTCTGTTGGTGTGTGTGTGTGGGTGTGTGGGTGTGTGGGTGGGTGTGTGTGTGTGTGTGTGTGTGTGTGTGTGATATATTGTGCACGTGCGTACGTACTTGCATGCTTCATTTGGGGTGTGGGTGACTGATTTGGTGTATATGTGAGATGTGTGTGTGTGTGTGCGCGTATGTGTGTGTGTGCGTGTGTGCGCGTATGTGTGTGTGTGCGTGTGTGCGCGTATGTGTGTGTGTGCGTGTGTGCGCGTATGTGTGTGTGTGCGTGTGTGCGCGTATGTGTGTGTGTGCGTGTGTGCGCGTATGTGTGTGTGTGCGTGTGTGCGCGTATGTGTGTGTGTGCAGGTCGTTGCTGCGCACATTCTTGCGCTGCTCCTCATGTTCAAGCTCACTTCCACAGCCTCCAGGTACCCATCCCATGCTCCATGCTTCCACATATACCATGTTCATGCTCCAGTTTCCCCTCCCCTTCCCCCTTCCGCCTGCCAAACCCTACATTTTTTCGCCTAGCATTTTTTCACAGCAAGTGTTTCTCGTGTGGTGTTCTTTCACTTGGCAGCCTCTTTTCGGCACCCGCTAAGAAGGCCAAGAAGGCTTCTTCCAAGTCCAAGTCTTCTCACCGGTCGCGTCGCCACCATAAGCCTTCTTCCAAGCAAGCCAGCACTTAGGTTATGTTTCTAGGGTGTAGTGATAGACCGTGATTGCACAGGAGATTCTTGTGCAGGATTTTTCTTTTGGAGTATCATAGGTCTAGTTGGCTTGTTTTGTCACTCGGCATAGCGTCGACTCCCTGACAGAGAACGTTCCTTACAGCGCGTTTATTTCTTCGATGACCGAACGGATTTGTTGCACGGATCTTTGTCACGTGATACTGGCTGGCAGATTGCTAGTGGTTGTACATGACAGCACCGACCAAGCTTTCCACGGGTGGAGTGAATGTGTCAGCCACTCAATGGTGCGGTTCGTAGATTTCCACTCGTTCGGCACTCACGACGAGTCACAACGAAATTCATCACCACTTCATCACCACCCACACACCACCCATATCCCAACCCCAACGAAAAAACTGACTTCCTCGCACCCAAACCTCGGATTTTCGCATGGGGTCTACATTCGTCGTACACTAATAACGAAACCTCGAGGAGAGACAATCATGTTTGCTAGTTACTGGCTGTTGTAGTTTGTCGACTGCCCGGCGCCTTCGGGTTTTCCAAGGTCAGCCCATAAACTCAGCAGCGAGGTTGGGCGATTTCTCCAAGGTGGAGCGGCAACTGTCCTTGCAACAGGGTGCGTTTCTGGCTCGTGTCAAACTTCCGGTCTTCCCGGGATGACACGAAGCTCGCCCCACAGCTGGCCCCACTTCGGGTCTTCCCGCAAAAAAATGCCCCTGGCTCGGAAAACACGAAGTTTGACCGGAAGTTTGACACTGGCCAGGAATGCACCCTTAAGCAATATATTTTCAGGGGTAAACCGCCCTTGCAACAACCGTCTCCCTTCTCGGACTCTCCGCGAGGGTGGCTGGCTGGCCTGGCTCGAGGCTGCACTTCCCAAGAAGAAGCCGTTGCACGTGTTGTAGACACGAGTTGTATCGTACCGAGGGATTGTCGAGGTGGGTGAGGGATTGTTGCTGGAGCTGGAAGGCAGTGCGTGGTGGTGAATTCTGCAGATTGTGAAGAGAGGCCACTGAAGTGCGATAGGGTCATCGTCGCAGCAGATTCTTTTTGTGTTTCTACTGGATTGAGAACGGCAGGGAAAGTGACAGGAAGTTTTGAGCGCGTTGATTGGACCGGACTGACGACGCACGCAGTTGCCGTTTGACGACGCATGCGAGACTCAGGTTGCGGAGTCGTTTTTGAGTTCAGCTGCCACTGAACTGTTTAGGAAACTCTTATCAGCCAAGTTCAGAGGCGCCTAAGAAATCGACTCAGTTGCCGTTTGACGACGCGTCGCCTTGCTTTCGGGAGCTCGGCCACCCAAACTCGAGCGAGTGTCCCTCAATTCGCTCTGTAGCGTTCGACCGTCCCTCGTCTCTTCCCTCTCTTCCTCTCTTTTCACTCTTGCCTGCCGGAATTGACCGTTACCACTCCCTGTGGGCCCGCAATCTCCCGTCACTTAATCTCTGGCCACCTTCAATATTCAGTCACCTTCACCGTCACCGTCCATCTGCAGTCACCTTTCCCACGCTCTCCTGGCCTGCGCGTCGCCTTCCGCCTCACCTCCGCCTCACCTGCGCTACATCCTTTCCATTCTCGCCTCCGCTCACCACGCATCCCCTGACTTGCCTCATCCCACTTACTTTACTCACCTCGCCGTGCCGCCTCATCAACTCTCCAATTCCCTCCTTACCACTCGCTCGTCACCGCTGTTCCCGCATCACCGTGCATCACTGCGCAACGCCGTGCTACCCGTCAACCCAATTACTTGTCCTCCGTCCCACTCTTTGCTCCGGCCGACTCCTCCGTCACAGACGCTCACCCTCTCGCCGCCACTCTCACACCCTCTTGCCCCTTCACTTTTCCTCGCTCGCGCTCTCTCTCCGCATCGTGCGGCTGCACCCATTCCCTCTACTCTCAGCAGAGCGAGCTCCTTTTGAGACGTCTCAAAAGCTCCCGACCCCAACAATCATGGACTTGCGAACCTTTTCACCCACATCCATCTCACTGTCAGACCCGCTCATTGGCGCAAGCTTGTCCATGGCGGCACACGGGGCACATGGCGACCCGCTTTCGCTCCCTGTTACCACCGCACGCCTCTCCGCTTCCTCCGCCTCCTCCCCTTCCGCCGGTCCCTCTGTTCCCCCCCCCGCGGACCGTTTCCTCCGCTCTCCCGCTGTTGGTCTAACTTCCCCTTTCCGCAGCTCCCGCTCTCTTCCGCGCGCTTCCGCGCGTGGCTTGTGTATACACCCGCTCTCCGCCTCTCCCCTCACCCCGCGGGGAAGAGGAGGCGGGCGGAAGGGGGAGAGGGCGGGTGCGGTGAGAGTGCGCGCGGGGAGGAGTGAGACGGAGGAGGCGCAGGGTGGTGCGGGGGCTATGCCGACTCAAAGCGTGCGCGATTTGCAACGGGTGTGTGCTCCATGTGTCTTCGCCGTTTTTTCCCTCCTTCCACCTTCTCTCCTGACCGCCGTTTCCACCCTCTTGACTGTCGTGTCTTCCCTCCTCTCTTCGCCGCCTTCTTCCCTCCTCTCTTCGCCGCCTTCTTCCCTCCTCTCTTCGCCGCCTTCTTCCCTCCTCTCTTCGCCCCTCTCTTCCCTCATTTCTTCGCCCTTCGTCCTCCCTCTCTTCTTCCCTCTTTTTCCCCCTCTCTTCTCTCCCTCACTTCCCCACTCTCTTCCCCACTCTTTCCCTCTATCCCCCCTCACTTTCCTCGTCCCTCCATCTCGTCCCTCCTCTTTTCCCCCTTCAACCCTCTCTGCCCCTCTTCTCCTCGTCTTTTCCCCTTTCTTTCCTTCTCTTTCCCCCTCATTTCCCTCTCTTATTCCCCCTGTTCCCCCTCTCTCTCCCCCTCTCTTCCCCCCTGTTGTTTGTCCCGCTCGTTCTCCCTCTCGTTTCCCCTCTCCTCACCCTCTCTTCCCGCCTCTCTTTTCCTCTCCTCTTCCTTGTCCCGCCCGCTTCCTTTTTTTTAGTACCGCAATTTCCAATTTCTTCCGTGTTCCACTGCTCGTTCTCTCTCGCCACCATCCCATCCCGTCCCTTCCGTCGCTCTCACTCGTTCGAGCTTCAACCATCACGAGCTTTAAACGGGACGTGCGCCATCATATGAGAACCATGCTCTCTACCTAAGCCCCTTGCTCATATGCTTTCAAGGGGCTTTCCCCGCTTCTCTCCCACATGCTCCTATCTAAGCCCCTTGCTCCTCTCTTGCGTGTCCCCTTCCCCACTCCCCCCACCCCCCCCACCCCTGCTCTCCTCATCAGCCGTACCAGTCATCCAGTCCTTCAGAGCGAGTCAACACCTTCGTTCGATTCTTATACGGCACAGGTAAGCACCCTCTTCCGCCGCTTCTCTCTCTCGCGTACTCTGTTGGTTTGAAGGCATGTGGCACACGGAGGCGTGTGGTGTGGCAGAGGCGAGTGCAGATTCCGCCAAACAACTCTCTGGGTGTCTCTCACGTCAGCCCCCCCCCCAGTTTCTCTCCCTTCTCCTCCCAGTCACCCACCCACTCTCCGTCCCGTTTGTCAAACAGTGTATCCAGTGCTCAATCCAGCATGTAAGTAGACGACTTTTGAGACGTCTCAAAAGCACTCTCCGTCCCGTTTGTCAAACAGTGTATTCAGTGCTCAATCCAGCAGAGCCCCTCCCTCATCAACCTGGCCCTCGCCTCTCCTGCTCTTCCTCGCACGGGCCTCGTTCCCCCGGGACCTCTTTTATTTCACCTCCTGCTCCTACTCCTCCGCTGCCTCCCCTCTCGGCCACGTCCCATTCTCTTCCTCATAAGATCCAGTCTAGACTCTTTTTCTCTCGTTCACTCTCTGCTAGCTCCCTCCCCTCCCTCCCTCCAGCGACTTATGCTGGACTAGCAACAGCGGCCGTTGCTGGAGC